TTCCAAGATGGACTGGGGGTAACACTATTGATTTTCATTCAACCAGCAGTCCTTGAGAGTTAGACTGGTGTATGACTATTGGTTTTCATTCAACCAGCAGTTCATGAGAGTTAGACTTGGGTATCACTATTGGTTTTCATTCAACCAGCATTCCTTGAGAGATAGACTGGGTTAAGACTATTGGTTTTCATTCAACCAGCATTCCGAGATAGACTGGAAGTAACACTATTGATTTTTATTCAACCAGCATTCCGAGAGAGATAGACTGGGGTAAGACTATTGGTTTTCATTCAACCAGCATTCCTTGAGAGATAGACTTGGTAGTTGTGAGCTGTTTTTTTGTTGTTGCGGAAAACACTTGTGTTTAGAAGTGGGTATATAAATAGAAAAAAATGTTTTAGAAGTGAGTATGGTTTACGAGAGGTGTGCTACACACCCTTATCCACTTAATGTGAAAGTAGTAGTGGGGGATAAGACTATTGGTTTTCATTCACCCAGCATTCTTTGAGAGATAGACTGGGGTAAGACTATTGTTTTTCATTCAACCAGCATTCCTTGGGAGATAGACTGGGGTAAGACTATTGGTTTTCATTCAACCAGCATTCCGAGAGAGATAGACTGGGGTAAGATGATTGGTTTTCATTCAACCAGCAGTCCTTGAGAGATAGACTCGGGTAAGACTATTGGTTTTCATTCAACCAGCATTCCAAGATAGACTGGGGGTAACTCTATTCATTTTCATTCAACCAGCATTCCTTGAGAGATAGACTGGGGTAACACTTGGTTTTCATTGAACCAGCATTCCAATAGAGATATACTGGGGGTAACACACAAGTACAAGACTGTTGTGTTGTAAAATGTAATGTACTTTTTATTATTAATACAAAATAAGGGCAGCACAACTTCAGAAAATTACACGTTACAGGAATTATTCACTTCATGACCTGTTCAAAATGTTGGCCAACAAAAATAGTTTTGAATTACAGGAAAAAGAAGACACTACATAGTATAGAAAGCCATAAACATTCACAGTACTGCAATAAAGGTGTGTAATTCAAAGGAATTTGTACTGGCAATTTGGTTACTGCAGCTCAACCCAAAGCTTCATTTTAAAAGTATTTATAGCAGGCGCTGATCAGAAAAATCTCCTTGGCAACACTAATATTCCTTAAAACATTACTAGTGGAGTTGTTCCTTCAACCTTTGGAAATTAATATCGATTGAGAATCAAATTGTGTTTAAATAACTTGCAGTGTTCAAATGTAGAACACTCAATAATTCACTATTTTCATATTTCATGCAATAGAAATCAGATGTTACAAGGAATATTACATGTAGGCGAGTGGTTTTCTGGATCAGTTTATTTTGGCACCCACTGTAAAATTGTTACAACAATTTGATTCTGACTACTGGTAGTTTACACTGTTGCATTCACAATGTAAGATAAATATGTGCATAATATTTATGTACAAACTGGACAGATGGAAAGTAATGATTTTATGCAGCCAACTTACCATGTTCTTATTGGCAAAAAATACAATGCTTGGCACCAAGCGGTATAAAATGTGATCTATGTTTACAGAAAAAGATTGGGGTGAATCTAGAATTACAAAAACTTCTATACAATTAGAACTACTAAGAACTTTATTACAATTCAAAATTTCATGAATAATATAAAACTAATTTAAGGACAAGTCTGTACAAGTTTTAACATTCAATCTGTCTTTGGGCTTCTTAGAAGTAATCCAGATTGAACTACTAATGTCACTGCTTTTTAGCCTTTTGAAGACCTAAAATACAAACTTCAAAGAAAATTTCAGCTGTGATTTAAAAAGAAAATACACATACATATTTAGATGGTGGAATGGGAGGGTTGGGGGCTAATAAATGAAGGCACCAAGATACTTTCAACATGCAGCAATTTACCACACACACTACAGTCAAGATGAGGTTTTCTGAGCTCTATATTACAAGTGTTGTTAGAGGGGAAACAAATGGTTTTCACAAAGCACAGTCCGGTCAACTCCATTTAAATATGTTTATGGCGAGTACATTTACATTCTCAAGTGGTTTCACTACTGATGGGAAAAATTAAAATTGGCATAGATTTATACCAATATATGCATTAGACATTATTTTGATTTGTTTATTTAGGTTATGTCTGTCAAAGGCTAAAATAAAAAATATCTGTGGTTTATTGAAAATGCAATACAGACAAGAAAATGTAATTTTTAGTATTGCTGTTTGATACTCCATATTGATAAATACATTGGACTGATTTATCATGACATGAAAACTCCATTCTTGTAGCATATATCTGAGTAATAGTTTGATAAAAGAATAAAAGTCTCTAATACACATGTGCACTGGTTGTTTTGCTACGCACCATAACAATCACTGCACATGCGCGGTTTTGATTCATCAAACAACTACTTTTGTGTCTGGCAAATGCAACATTTTTAGTTAAGATAAATTATAATCCGATTCGGTCTACAGTATGGAGCATCAAACAAAAATATTAAAACGTACATGTCTTTGTCCATATTGCATCTTTAAAATTAGTATACTAGGTTATGAATGTATGCATTTTCTCCAGTCCTACAGACATTGGCATAGTTGTAGAGATGTGGTTAAATTTAAAATGATGGGCAGGCAAGAATTGCTTTTTTTAGGTCAGATTATTTCAGGTAACTACATCACTACATGCTGATCCAGTAGAAGGGAAAATACATGTAACCATCACAATATCAGCAAGTCCATCTATATACAGTATGATATACATAACAAGACACCGAAAGACCAACAGGACAAGTCCAAAAAACAAAACACAGCAGCATAGTTTACAGCAAGTTTATCTATTGTTTAACAATACTCAAACTTAGAAAACTACAAGTATTTTAGCTAGTGCTTTAAAACAAATTTCTGCAACTATTAGCGTTTGTCAATGTGTTTTGCACTTAAATAAATGAATTAGAGAATCTCTAAAAATAGACAGCTTTTAAAACCTTGAAGGGTTCGATAAAAAAACATGACTTAAATAGATCAATGACAACCAGTTTAATGGTGATATGAATCCATCCAACTTTTAAATAATACCTTAAAAATGCAAACAATACAACTCTGAACTAAATTTAAATTGGAAGATGCGTTTTGAACCATATGCTTGATATAAAAATAACAAGCTGTCAGATGTCTTATCAGTTGATTTACAGGATTCAACAGCATTATGAAGCGTTGGCTAGTAGCTTTTAAAAACAAGTTGGATTATATAAAATATTCGCTAAAAATATAGAATTTAAGATATCATCAAAAATTAGGAAATCTGATAGAGTTCCACCCAAGGTACCTACATACGAAGTATCAAAGCAATCTGGCTAGTAGTTTAAGAAAAATGACAAAAATATTTGCTAAAAGAATTGTTTGAAAATTATAGCAATGAAATGAACAAATCTGATAGGTACTTGTATACCAAGAAGTCAATGAAAAATATAAAGTTGAGTAGGGAATTGTTGCTATGCTAAATAATCTAAATAGAAATACTATGCATAATACATTGCAGTAACTTGGTTGGTCTATAGCTTATTGTAATATTTTTGGGCATGTTAATTAGGTCATGCAATAACGTTATACATTTGAATTGAGTAATGTTCTTCGTACAGAGTACATACAATGCAGGTATATTCCCATGCACAGTCCAATGGATTCAAATTTAACTTTGATAACTGAAGCGTGTTTTAGTGTTATGAAAGTATTATAAAACTTGTCAAAACAATCATTTCCTATTGTACATTTCATACAGTTTCGAAAGCCAAAATAAGGTCAATCTAATAGATATCCCTATAAGGACTTCAGAACTTTACAAGAAATACAAGACAGTAATGCATATACACTGTGAGCCATGAATCATACAGCCAAACATATCTAACCAGATTGGACCACAATTTTCTTAACATTTTATGATCTTTTATGAAATGGTATGAAGATTCAACTCTGGCAAGATTTTAAACTGACTAAGAGAAAACCAAGTTTGATATTATTTGGATTAAAATTACTCAAGCCATTACACAAACATGAGCAATAAATAACAATGAGAACAGTGCCGCCATAAGCAAAAGCCACCACCCCTCCCCAACATAGTTGAGGGAAAAAATTAACATATAAATCTAGAGAATAAAATCGAATAGTTCTTAGCAGCTTTATGACGAGCTATTTGAATATTGTGAGCAAAATAAAATTGCTCTGATATAACTTGGTATATATTAAACATTCTTTACAAAGGAGGATTTCCCAGTGTTCCCCATAGCTCCTTCAGTCCATATCATTTAGGATTTAAGGTTTTATTCTTAAATTTATATCACAATAGGTTAACTTCATAATAATGAAGAAAAACAGAAGCAGCTTCAGAAATGGATCAACAAATACACACACAGTACTATGTCTGAAAAAATAATCTGGAGCAAGAGGAGATAGAACATAAAAAATTTACAGTTCTGAATTTTGCAGGATTTCGAACAGAAACTTGCAAGGTTTTATAAAATTAATCAATTATTCCATCATGTGTATTCTTTCTGAATAAAAAGAACCACCATGTGTATCTATTGCAGTGTCAACAATGAAGTATCATCTCTATATTGTGGCAATAGACACTTATTGCTGACCAGCACAGACCATTCAATTCACAAGTCCTTATTCTCAGCCATGAAGAACACTGGAAGGCAACATCAAAGCACAAGTCAGTATATTCTTGCTTACAGTATCATATCAAATCTAGGTCCTTTACTGATACTGATTTCGCCAAATGAGTCATCCTGATGAACATCAATTGCATTTTGTTTCTTTAATACAAGGAATGTGTAGAACTTGGATGCAGCTTGTTTGCGGTTGTTTTTCTTTGACAATTCAGAAAAGGTGATTTGGTCTTGTCTTTGAAGTTGTTTCTGTAGAATGTGTATCATTTGTTGTGTTCTTTTATTCCATCGCCTCTCTTCCATTTCTTCTACGTTTTCATCATCTTGTTCATCCCCCGTCTGAAAGAAAGTTATAATCTTCTATTAAAAGTATGTCTACCAAGACAATTTTACATGTCAATCTGAGGGCAAGTGTTAAACATAAAAACATCTTGCAGAGATGGTACAATGACAAAGAACCATTTGCTCTATTGCATGCTCTTATTTTTCATGAGAAATTTTTAAATGTAGATTAGATTCATCACCAACTTTTCTTTCAGTGAGAACAAAGGTTTTGTCCTTTTCTTTTCAAAGAGCTCATTACTTTTTCCATTTATGCTTAGAGTACTTAGTAGTTGCCAAATGGCTGTATTTATTTCTTTACCCTCATAGAAAAATATGTCATCTGACAGTTTATTAGTTCTGTTCAAAATCATTATTTATTTTTATGTGGTAACAGTACAGTACGCAGATGATTTTGAGAGATGATTTTGACAACTTTGCAATCCTAATTTAGTATCAGAGAGAATTATAATGTAGCCTGCATTCATAAATAAATTGATGAAAATTTGGAGGGATGGAGGACACAGAAAAGATGAACTTAATACTTACATCTTCTTCTTCTTCCTCTTCTTCAGGTTGTGCCTCTTCCTCTTCACTGTCGGAGGGCGCTTCAACACCGAATGACTGTACAGAACCAGGTCCAAATAGATCATCACCCATATCACCTGCATCACCATCACTTGATGGGGAATCTGGTCGTCGTACTGGTGACATTAATGGCAGATCTTTAGCAGCAATTGTACTTACTTCCCTATTTTCTATCCGTGCACTCTCATTGATATGAAGTGTTGAGTCAAGTTCTTGCACAGGTTGTTCTGAATCAATAAACATTTATATAAACAATGACATTACAAATAAAGAAACTGGCTATCAGTATCAGTCAGTCAATCTGGTGCAAGTAGCAACTCAACTTGCTGGTGACAATCTAAACAATGATGACTATCCAAAGAATGTTAAGTTCTAGTTTGATCAACAATCAGACCTCGAGTTACAGGCCACTTCCTGTATGGCACACTAACTGGTTGAGAAATCCTAGAAAAAGTATTTCTGAACAATTATTACACTAATCATTTGTCTGATGTATAGCAACTACAACTACAATTCCAAGCAAACAAAGCCTGGATAATGGATAATTAAATTGGTTGAAGTTTCATTCCCTCTTGGCAAATCTGACCAATTAAATGTTTAGACTGTGGATGGGCAATGAAAAAAACTGCATAAAAAGAATTAGGCAGCTCTGTTTGATCAGTTACATTGTAGTCTACAGAGTTGAGACCAGCCAGTACTTTCAAAATGAAATTAATGCGAAAGTATATCTTTTTTTATAGCTAAAATGGCATCCTTTGAACACATGCCATTAGCTTGTTTTGGAAAAATGTTTTACATATTTGCAAAATGAGAACTTTGAGATGTCAACTGGAAGAACTTGCTTATGATAAGATGACACTAAATATTGAATTATTCTCTTCACTTTCACAATAATTATCAATCTCTTGTTTACCTTCATGAATTTCTTCCTCTCTTGGTATTTCTGGTTCATCTACTTCCATTTTTTCTTCTGGTTCAGGTTCTGGTTCTGGTTCATGATTTTTCGAAGCCATTTTTTGTGTCGTTAAATTACGTGTGAAAATCTAATAAAACAGTAATAGAATTTATACTATGATGGTTCTAAAAATCGGCTGAGATAGCTCCGCTGTTAGCGATGCACATTTCAATTAAAGAACAGAAGATATTAGAAAATGAACAATATGTATAGTATCAAAGCAATGGGACTTGCTGTTTTCAACAGGAATTCAAAAATATAATTTTTCACCATAATTGATTGTGGTTTTTAACAAGAAGTCGAAAATATCACTTTTTACCAAAAAATGACAAAAATATTCACCAAAATTAAAAAATTAAAGATATCATTACAAAATGAAGAAACCTGAGAGAGGTACATATGTAGTACCTATATATGTAATATCAAAGCAATTGGACTTGCGGTTTTAACAAGAAGTCGAAAATATCATTTTTTACCAAAAATGACAAAAATATTCACCAAAATTAAAAAATTAAAGATATCATTACAAAATGAAGAAACCTGAGAGAGGTACATATGTAGTACCTATATATGTAATATCAAAGCAATTGGACTTGCGGTTTTAACAAGAAGTCGAAAATATCATTTTTTACCAAAAATGACAAAAATATTCACCAAAATTAAAAAATTAAAGATATCATTACAAAATGAAGAAACCTGAGAGAGGTACATATGTAGTACCTATATATGTAATATCAAAGCAATTGGACTTGCGGTTTTAACAAGAAGTCAGAAAATATCATTTTTTACCAAAAATGACAATAATATTCACCAAAATTAGAGAATTGAAAATATCATTACAAAATGAACAAATCTGAGAGAGGTCCACTGTAGTACCTATATATGTAATATCAAAGCAATCAGACTTGCGGTTTTCAACAAGAAGTTGAAAATATCACTTTTTACCAAAAATGACAAAAAAATTCATCAAAATTAGAGAATTGAAGATATCATCATGAAATGAACAAATCTGAGAGAGGTTTACCCAAGGTACATATACACCAAGTATCAAAACATTCAGGCTTGTAGTTTTCAAGAAGAAGTCGAAAAAGTAAAACACGATAAGCTCCGCTCGACAAAGTCGACAGCGGAGCTAAAAAAATTAATGCGTTTTCCCATGTAAATCAAAGCCAAACAATCGCACTACAACAACGATAAATCTTTTCCGTGTTTCGTTCACCACGAGGTCGCTGAACTATCATTAATATATTTAAATGAGCTATGGTAATTTAAACACGTTGGCACCACCCAGCGTTTCGATTGGTTAATCAGCGACTTGACCTATCAGGTCAAAAAACAGTTTCAAGTCACTAAAGAACCAGTTTGAACAAACATGGCGGATATCGTACCGGATCGAGCATTTATGTGTGACCGAAATCATTGGCTTGCGGAGAAACTAAGTTGAATTTTCACAACAATTCAACAAATTTAATTTTTGTACGTTATTGTAATCACTACTGAGTAATAATCATCAATTGTAACACTTCGAAAACAAGCAAGTTATTCACTTGTGTGACCGTTACCGTGATCATTTGCTACTAAAAATGCATTCGTTTTTGTTTTTACTTCTTTTAGAATATATATTTCGTTATCAAAAAAAAAGTAAGAAAATAAATACATATTACATTAATAATATACTGAGAATTTTTTTGTTATCATTTGAAAATTTTTTTTTGGAGTGACTGTAATTTCCCGATCTCTAAATTAAACATGGAATGTACAGTCACTCTGCCGGAAGTCGAACACGTCAGTAGTCTAACGCAATCAACTGTGTCAGACGACTGTCTCTCAGTTGTGACCTACTACTAGTATACCGGTGCTAACGAATTCAGATGCGTGAAGTCTTGGTGCGGCTTTAATTAGAACATTCACTTCGGTAACAGTGGGAAATTTTTTCAGAAAACAAAGGCCAGAAGGGATAATGATATGCTAATGAGATGCATGACACTCGATTGCAACTTTATTGCGATTCTAAGCGCACTTTCGGATTTTTACACACAGACAAACTTGTACACAAACAAAATTTCACACTGTATAACACACTGCACAATAAATAATATCTACAAATAGTACTGTATAATACAATTTCTTGAATAGACCAATTTGTCCATTGAAAAAAATAATTTTAATTAAAGCCACAACCTCAAATAGGAATTTTATGGTTGTTAATTAATTTTATTGTAACAAAATAGAATATATATAATAAGATGCCATGATTGGTAGTGTAGCTAGGGAGATACCAGTATTAACTACTTTTCAATGTTATTGATAATTCATACATAAATTAGAATGTGGAATATATTTGATATATCAATTTTTTTTTGTTTTTTTTTTGCTAAGATTTGTGTGCCCGCTGACATTCCAAGGCAATGTCATCACTTCTTCTGTGTTTAATGACAATCGCAAGTTAATTTGCAAACCAGTCTCTCAAATCTAATACCAGGTGTTTGGCACGTAGGGCAGACTGTACTCTGATTCATACCACTGAGTGAACCAGTCAGCTTCAGGATTCAAACCCAGAACCTCCTTCGAGCAAGACGAACACACTAACAATTGTACAAATGTCCAGGTGCCAACTATCTGAACAATGCTGGAGGGCACTGCACCATAAGCTTTTTTTGCCAGAAGCAGGACAAATCAAATCTCATCTGTTTTAATCAAAAAGCTTACCTTAAGAAGACATGTTCCTGTGACTCTGCCAGGCAATGAAAAAAGTTTATCTACACCTCCTGTTTCCTTCCAGATCATAAGTTTCTTGGTGGGTGGTGCTAAATCTAATGTTGTAACAATATCTGATGTGTCTTTCAGTTGTGCTTTTATGATATCACCTGATAATTCCTTACAATCATCAACAACTAATTTACGCTTGCGTCTTTGCCTAGTTTCTTTTAAACCTATAGAAAAAAAATCAACGAAATAAGCACATCTACCATACTCGACTCGACTGGGACATTTCTAATTTTGGGTTTACGGTTGGCTAAGCGGCAATCGCCAAATTTGACTGTCTAATCATAAAACTTCGTCTTTGATCATTGTTTAACTTTTCCGAATACTGGCAATCATTTTTAGATGATACAGCGTGGATATCGACCACCGTGAATCATTTGTGAATGCGTAGACCACGGTAATCGTGCGTAAACTACGCTTCAACAATGACCTATAAACGAAAGTGAAATACAGTAAATACTTCATGCCATATTCAGTTTACCTATCAAAAATTGCCAGTTGCCAGTTTTTGAAAAAAAATCATGCAGTTTATTTGCTGAAATCAAATCAACATAATCGATAATTCACTTCCGCATTGTGTTACCAGAAAGTCTTCGAGAATTTCCGAAGAATTGCATTGGCTCAACACAGCAATCTCATTGGTTAAATAACAGACGATGTTATTTGATGATGTTTTCTTGCACTATTTGAGCATTTTTGTTTCTTCATTGTAAAAGTCGCAACTAATTTTATAATTTTATTTCCTTCTAAAGTCGGTGAACTTAAATTGTCATTTGCTCTCTTTTACGAGGGGGGTGCTCGGGTAAGCGCCCACCCCTGGAAAAAAAAATCATGATTTTTTGAGTTGAGTACACTGTGAATGTTATATTTGTTCAGTAGAGGAAGGAAGCAGAATTCAATTCACTTTCCATTCTAACCATCAATTACATCATAGGTCATTTAATTCTATTTGAAAGAACATTTGTTTTTTTTCTCTCTTCCCCATGTTTTTGTACGACAGTTGTATTGTCAGCACTCTGCCATTATTAGGTTTATCACCAATATACAGAGATTTACTATACCTGTGACATCAATAGGTTCTAATGCAAATGCTTCATCTTCGTTTGGTACAAGTGTGGTTTGATCAATGATAGACGGAGCAACTGATGGAGGAGGTGCTACTGACGGTGGGGGGGAATATGATATAGGGTCTTCAACTACTCCTTCTACTTGTGGAGGCTCTTCACGTGCTTTCGCCACTACAAAATAACAATTAAAAAAGAATTAAAATTCAGGTTTTGCCAGGGCAGGGTTGTTCTAAACCAACGAGAAGCCACCCATAAAGTTAAAGTAACTTGTTTCTACTTTGGTTGATGAAAAGTTAAAACAAAAAGAAAAGATGGAATGATTGATGAAGAATGAATGAATCAAATTTGAGTGAATGATGCAGTGTGTGGTGACCAGCAACTAAGGCTGGCAAGGTATTGAGAATATTCAAGTACATACAATATACGCCTGAATTTCATCCGAGGATAACATCATGAGGAACTTGTATTGGGAATACTATAAAGTATTATACACTGTCACAATCCCAGTTAAATTTATGAGCATGTGTGTGAATACAAAAAACTTACTTCTTTCAGCTCGCTTTGCTCCTGGTTCAGGGCCAAGAGATATATCATTGCCTGTTATTTCTGGCTGTTCTTCAAAAAGATTGCCATCTATCATAAACCCATCACCTATCAAGAAAACAGTCATTATTACATAAGCAACTTCATTTATGTTATAACATTTACATACTGAAATTCAGTATATTGAAGGCACCCAATTTCAAACAGCATCAAAGCATACAGTTGGGGCATCTTGGCCATTGCCTCCATAAATTCCAAGCCCTGTAAATAACATTGACTAGTTCTACTAGCATAATTTACTCCTTTTATATAGGGGTTGTAGGTACTGACTACTTATATGAAATTCTTGGTTTGAATCCACCTTTCCAATAGCTGAGAAAGAACATTCACATCCAAAATTCAAAACCTTCAGAAATATCTAACACTAATGAGTGTGCAAATTACCAATCTACATGTGCGCAAACCAAAACTGTAGTAATTACTAGTATGCATACAAAACCTGGCGATTACTAATTTGCATACTGTATGTGGCTGATTATAATTCCACAGAGAAGAGATCAATTGTGGAAATACTATAATAAACACACGATCAGGGCAGCGGGTCACATGACCAAGAGTGGTAAAATATAATTTCCCACAGGGCTCATACTTTTGCATTCCAAGGATACTCATTTCTATATATGCCTTGGACTAAAAAAAACATTTGACAATTTTGAAGGGCATGAAAGCATTGTTGTTAAAGATCCAGACAATCTGTTCATGAAGTTTGAACCAAGTCATCAACTTCTGGTCAAATTTACTATTAACAAATTTGTATGCTTACCGAGAATACCATCACCCATTCCCATTCCTCCTCCAAAGCCATCATCTACAAGTGGTTTATCATATCCACCAAGATCCATAGGTTTATCCAATGATGCATCAATATTGCTATCTTTCTTTTCTCCTTCTAACAACAAATTACTTTCATCACCAGATGGCTTGTACAATGTCTCTTCCATTTGACTAGTATCCCGAAGAACTTCACGATCATCAAATGGAATGTCACCTGTATTAAACAAAAACATAACATTAACATATTTTTCCAAATGTTTATATTAGAACACAAGTAAAGACTCATGTTACAGCATGCCATAATTATGTAGTACTGTACAGAGTACCTGCATTCTATGTTAGGAAATTTGAATTCCAAATATGGAATAGTTGCTGTAATATTTCTAAACACAGCAGAAAACAAGATTCATAGCAAGAAAGTGGCACATTTCAGAAAAATAAGTTATTCACTTGTGAAACACAACATGACCGGATTGTGCTATTGACACTAAACATTTGCTACGAAGCAATGCATAAGAGTGTTATTCTCTGAATACAGTAACCTAATAAACAGTAGTGACTTACCAAATCCATCATCATGACCAGCCAATGTAATATTTCCGAAATCTTCTTTCATTGTGATTTCTTCTACTCGACTTTGATTCATAGTAAATTGTTTTTGAATTTCAATGTCACTGAATAAAATAAAAAGCATTATTAAAATTATTTTATGTAGATCAACGGCAAGTAGATTCATAAAGAAGCCCTAAATATGTAATTTGAAGATAAAAAATTGGAAGGATGTCAATTTCATTGAAATCAAATTGGGCAAGGATGACAACGTGGCTGCCAATCAAACCATTGAGTCGTATAACATGTTTGCATGATCCAAAACTAATAGTGGCAAAAGAAGCGTAAATCAGAATTTTCCATGATTAAATGAAACGTTCAACTTAGTTTGAATTCCTGATGGTCTAGATTTAAAAAACAAAGTTCATACATTGTCTTTAATTTTACCAACAACTTTGATTAAGTCTGGCGCAATTGCTAAACATTTCACAAATTAGAAAACAATGTTTACATGGAAAAAAATTATTGAAAGAATGATTTGAAACTGTTGTAATTAAAATTATCTAATTAATTGAATGTGTATTGTTAAATAAGGACAATGACTTTAGTAAGAAAAGAAATTTCTCTGAAAAGTTGGAAATTACATGCTTTTGCAACTTCAAGAAAATTATTTCCCACTAAAATTATTTACTAGACCCAAACATCTAGCATGTAAGAATAAGTTATGAAATTTAAAAAATGGCAAGCATATCAGTTGAAAGGCAACAAGCCTTATTTTTGTAAATTTCTAGTCCTAGTAAATACTTAGATAAAAAAAAAAATTATGTTCAAGTTACCCATATGCCAACAACACCTAACCAGGAGAATAATGAATCAAATCAATCAAAAATTAATTTTCCAGCTATTTGTATATGATAGTCATAAATGTATGCCATGTTACACGACATATCACTAAGTGATAACGCATTTACAAATAAGTAAAAACTCTGTTCATGTCGCTGAAACAGTTATCGCACGATGCATGCAAAAAGAAAAGTGCAATTTAAATATGGTTGATCAATGAGTATAGGTACTTACTTATAGTCTGGGACAGGTGCATCAAAATCATGGAACACTTCCGGTAAGGTGATGGCAGTGAATGCAGCTTCACGGTTTTCTTCTGGTAGGTCAACAACTCCAGGCCTAAAAGCCATCTTGATTTTTACAAAGGCTTCATTGCAATCTGCTAATAAATATTTGGCTTTCCGACTGTGGATTCGCACAACACCCAAGAGCAAATGACCCGATGTTCGTAATGCCATCTTGACCTAATAAAAAAATTATTACATTATGACCTATTTATTTTTTTGGTGAAATGTGGTACTTTATACTAAATAAACATCTTAAAACCAACTATGAAGTCAGGATTACTGAAGTTTTTTGTTTAAACTTGCTTTATCTATTGATCAGTGTTTCTCAGAAATTTAAACCACTGTGGAGGAAATCATTTGCACAATTATTCCATCCAGAAATGTTGATGATTAACATATTCCTCTTGGACGACATGCATACAATTATTTACAAACTAAACTTTTAAAAAGGAGAATCAAAAAACAACATAATGCTCCCACAAGGAAGATGTAGAATATAATCTACAGTTTTTTTTTTACATCATATTCAGTATTAGTAATCTACCATCTTATTATCTAGCAAAAAATTGTGGGTAAAGACATGCTAGTCACTTATGAAAACCCGAGAAAATGATTTCATCAAAAAGATCCATAAATCTGCAAATACAGTAGGTGGAAAAAGATTCTCATTTTTCATTCTTATTAAACTTTTCACCACCTATTCAAATGGTAGTTATCTTCAAGGGTGACTTAATTCTGTATTTATTAAAAATGCCTTCACTGTAGATTTCTGCATGTTTTGCATATGCTCATTAATTAATATTACATATATTCACAACTCTTGACAGTCATTAATGTAGGACACTTCAGCCAGGAAAATTTCAGGCACACGCATGTTTAATATTGCTTATATTCTTATATTTATATAGTTTTATGTGTATTAATGAGAAGTTTAGCATATTTATATTTACCAGTAATTTGCAAGTTGCAAGTATGGTTCAATTATATTTATTTACTAATAACTCATTGCAAGTACGGCATATTTAAATTTATTTTCTAATACATGTACATTACAAATTACATATTACACAACAATAACAGATTTTCATACACTGTCAGTGTTCTCTGTAAGCCTTATTTTCGCTCAATTTTCTCAGATTAAATTGTAGTTTCTCAGTGAAATTTTGTCTTTTGAGAAACTTTCCATGCATTTTGTATGCAGAAAAAACATTTCAAGGGGAAAATGGGCAAATTTTCACATTATTTTCATAATTCAAAAAAATTTAAGGGAACAGTGTACACTGTAATAGCATAAAATGTTGAAACATTACCTTGGGGTGTATGATACTCTCCACACTGCTTTCCACATTTGTTTCAAATACATGGGCCTTTGTCAGTTTCTTGTCCCAATGAGCTGCTAGCCATATCCTGGCCAACGGACCCTTCTTACTCAACACAAAATGAGCGTAAAACATTATGCAGTTTGTGAACTTTTTCTACAACTACCAAGGTTCCACACCTGAGTAAGAAAGGCAGACATAAAATTACATACCCTACTTGCTCCATCAGAAGCAGTTACAAATGACATATAGAATATAGTTGCATTTATGCACAGTTCCTCAGCACAGGCTGAAAGGTTAACCTGTACTAAGAAAATGTGTGTGAACGCTTAAGTATGGGTTAAAAAAACGATTACTGTAAAATCTGAACATTTTTAAGACCCAATCTTGACACTAAAGCATACCTACTAGATAAAACATTGCAACAAAATACTTATTTATAGTCCATTTGAAAGATTTACTATTACTGCCAAAATAAACATTATCCATTCATTTTTATAAATATCTATATTTCAATGACCAATCAATGAGCAGTGACAATGATATAATTTTAATATGTTTGAATGTTATTCCAATGGCTTTTGTTTCAGTGTGAATTGTGAAATTTATAAATATTAAAAAAGGGATACATGTACATTCCCTTCATATTTGAAAATTATGTTGTGTTGATAGAATATTCATAATTATTCATTTTGGCATGTCATTTCTGAAACGACAATCAATGTGAGCACATCCAGAGACTGACATTGTTCAAGAAAAAATGTACTGAAAATGCAACCATGTACTACTTTCTGATATTCTACAACTTGTACTTTCAGCTTTTGCACTGTTATTGTTTTATAATGACAGTCAATTTGATACCAAGGTACCTCACACCTCAATGTATTAAAACTGCGAAAATAGGTCAAAAATTGACAGAGCGATATTGTTGATTACCTATCGCAAAAGGTCATGATTCAACAATATTTAATTAATATCAACAAATGCACACCTAGTGATAACATACGTTTTTGTTGTGATTTTTCAGATCTTCAGAGACAATTCAAAACGAACGTTCTATTCATGCAAAAGGATGTTTACAATATTGTTGAACCCACGAAATTAATGCGTCACCTCACCTCGACCAGGCAAACTTCACGCCACTTTACTATACTAGTTGTTTTGCACCAAACAAAGTTCAATTTAATGTGTATAATATCCTTGATGACGACAATTTCATTGAGATATACAAATGAGAAATACCTATAAAAGTAATATGTACAACGACGATGGCAGGCAGTCTTATGATAATTCGTCGAGGACCAAATTCTTTTACACGTCAATTACAAAATCAATAAAATTTTACAAATACTCAAATAATATTGCCTAGCTGGGATACCGTTAATTATACATATTTAGCAGAAATGATTTCCTAAACAACAATAAACAGATTCTCAGTCATTTGAAATTCTGCGGATAAAATTTAAAATTTTCATGCTGCTATTCGCTTCCTAGTTAACTGAAATCCCCAAATAAAACCACTACAATGCAATAATTTACCTGAAGTGGGTAACAGAACAGACACCGGTGGCCGGAATCTGATACTGTACTTCGACGCACCTCCACGATGTGGCAGAAACAATCCTATTTTTTGCAAAATATTGTAAAAACGAGAGTACCGTCCACACAAACGCTGAAATGAGTCCAAGATGGCGTCCCTTTTTGTTTCCCGCCCAAACACTGCGTTCGAATTTGGACCATTTACGCCACTTCCGACAAATAGTTCATGAATTACTGTTATTTCTCAGCTTATTGCGGCAAATTTAACGCCAAAAGACACTATATTAATTAATTCTGATTAAATCTCTTGGGCTTGAGATCATAAATTGTCACAGGTTTGACGTTTGTTTCTATTCGGATAAGAATATTTCGTCGACGACTGGTCATGACCCTGAGGAAGGATTTTATTTACATGTTATAGTAATGCGCCAGGGTAGCTGTTTACATACATATTGCTCTTACAATATTTTTCCCTTATTTGTAGGTTATCGTAACTTTTTGTGTTGAAAATAAATTTTAAAAACACAGTTAGCTTTAACTTTAAACCGGTGATATATGTAAAGTCTAATAAATCTATTTTTTTCGAGAAAATTTATTTTTCGATATTTGATTCATTTTACGCGTCTCGTCGTTTGATGGCGCTGATGATGTCACCGGGCTCGGAAACGATTGATTGTATGACGTGTTTAATATCACGTGACATTCCAATATGGCGATCGCTGTAAAGAGCTGAACTTTATCTTCTGTCTTCGGTTTATATCTGAGTAGCGTTTCGTTTCTTAACACGGGAATATATTATTCATTGTATATCCAATTATTTGCAAAGCACGGTCCGTATTTTTGTGTGATCATGGCCGAAGGAGGAGTTCCGATTGATATACCTGTGGAAGAAAGCGAAGGTAAAACTAACAAGTTTCTCAGACTCGTCTCTCACTCACTGGCTCGCTTACCAGTGATTTTTTTCATGTTGTCAATATTATTTTACCCCAACGACTTTAAACTTGCGTCTTTTTTTATCCAACCCAGCGCTTAAACATTTTATTGTCTTCTTGAATGTTTCCGATCTATTGTTTGTGTATAGCTGCAAGTTGCATCCCTTCATGTGTTCTGCATATTAGTCACCGTGTCAGCAGGGTGCTGAAATTGAATATGCCGATGACCTGTTTCGCCACTGTTTCACACAGTGATATTTGAGTTCATTCACGATCGTCTTCACCTGAAACACCCAATCCTATAACTCAGATAAAACCAAATCCGACAATTTGTGTGATCGTTTGATTGCGATTTTCGAGGGCGTGGTTGTTATTGGACTTGGCCATGTTTGTGACCGTAGTGTGCTACGTGTTGTTGTAATGGACAATGCAACAGGCTAATGGAATATGACATGACTTGGATGTACAGGTACTGTGTTGTGGCTGAGTGACAACTTATTTCCTGCATGTTTGGATGTGTTGCAGTGGATACTAGGTGTGTTATTACGACATGATTGCCGTACAATTCAAGACTTTGATTGCAATTTATTTGGCAGTATTTAATAATTACATGTCTTATCAGATATCTACTGTGTGTTGAAATATTAATGTTTATTCATTTTTATTCACAATATATCACTGGATTTTACTTTGATATCCAAAATTTATCATTCTCTTAGCTTTCTTTTTCTGCAAGTATTAATTAAACTAGGGTTTTTCTGGGGTCTTCCCCTAAAAATTGTGCCCTTTACCATATATATTATAGAAGATTGAACTGTTGCATCAACTGTTGTTGTTCAGTATGTAATCTTGAATATAAAAGGTGATCTTTGTGTTTCTCTCGGTGGGTCATGCATTGTTCAGTGGCTACTGGTTGTGAACAAAATCAATAAATGCAAAATGTAATATATGCAATATAATATCTAGGGTCAGTTACATAAATAGCAAAAACAGGGAAAATGTACAAAACATTGTACAGATAAAACTATTTTGTTTCATTTTACAAATTCAGCAAGGCATATTTAAACTACCACAAGAAATTTTTTTTTT